CCCCAGCTCCCTCAGCCCCTCCTGCTGCTCCAGCCCCTTCCCCAGCTCTGTTCCCTTTCCTGGACATGCTCCAGCCCCTCAGTGTCTCCCTTCCATGAGGTTCCAGAACTGGACACAGCTCTGGAGGTCCCTCAGCAGTGCCAGCACAGGGGGACAGTCCCTGCCCTGGGGCTGTGCCCACACTGGGGCTGGCACAGCCCAGGAGCCATTGGCCACCTGGGCACACCTGGGCTCATGTCCAGCCTCTGTCACCAGCACCCTCAAGGCCTTTTCCAGCTTTCCAGTCCCTCTGTCCCAACCTGGAGCATTCCAGGGGGTTGTGGTGACCCAAGGGCAGGAGCCAGCCCTGGGTCTTGTTTACCCTCACCCTGTTGGCCTCAGCCCATCAATCCAGTCTGTCCAGATCCTCCTGCAGAGCCTTCCTGCCCTCTGGCAGATCCCCATCCCACCCCACTCGGTGTTGCCATTGAACTCACTGAGGGTGCCCTTGATCCCCTCGTTCAGGTCACCGATGAAGATGCTCAGCAGGACCAGCTCCACACTGAGCCTTGGGGAACCCCAGCAGTATCCACCCCACTGGATGTCTCCCCATTCCCACCCCTCCCTGTATCCAGCCATCAGCCAGGAGCTGTCCCAGCCTGGGGCTGCAGGAGCTCCAGGAGAGCCAGAGGAGATGGCTTTGCTGAGCTCCAGGCAGACACACCCACACCCATCTCACATCCACCGGATCACCTGGGCACAGCAGATCAGGTGGGTCAGGCAGGACCTGTGTTTCCCAACCCCAGCTGGATCCGATCCCTGGTTGTCCTGTCGGTGCCGGGGGATCCCCCCAGGGTGATCTGTTCAGGGCCTTCCCAGCATCCAGGGCAGGGACAGCCTGGACTTCCCTGGATCCTCCTCCTGGCCCTGCTCGGGGAGGGGGTCACTGGGCACCTCTAGGGCCTGGGACCCCCCGGGGGGCAGGGGCTGTGAGGAATGATGGGGAGGGTCCAGGCGAGCGCTGTTGCTGTCTGGGTTCCCCCTGGGGGGCTGGGCCTGAGGGGAGTGGTGGGAGCAGCTCCAGGACCCCCCCACAGCCCCCATGGTGGCCCCGGGAGTCCATCAGCCCCAGGGACCTGTGGGGTCTGAGTGGCTCAGCAGGTCACTGACCCAGTCCCTGCTCCCAGTACAGACCAGTCTGACCCAGTATGAACCAGCATGACCCAGTCTCCACTCCACTATAGCCCAGTTTGGCACAGTACAGATGAGTATGTTCCAGTACAAATACAGATCCGTCCAACCCAGTCCCCGCCCCCAATATAGATCAGTCCAACCCAGTCCCTGCTACCAGTATGGACCACTCTGACCAATACAGACCAGTCCGTCCCTGTCCCCATTCCCAGTTGAGACCAGCCCATCCTGTCCCCACTTCCAGTATGGACCAGCCCATCCTGTCCCCACTCCCAGTCTGTCCCAGCCCGTCCCTGTCCCTGCAGAAGGGTCAGTGCTGGCAGAATGCCCAGGCTGGGCAGCGCCCGTGGTGCCACCGAGCTCCAGGCACTGTCCCTGTCCCTGCTCGGCCTGGCACTGCCGGGGGGGCCCAAGGACATGGGCAGCAGTGCCATGGGCAGGGTGTGTGCGGGGCAGGCAGGGCTGTGGGGAGCAGGGGCCAGGGTACTTCCAGAATACTTTATTTTGTACATACAGTTTGTCAGCGTGCGGCGGCCGCCCCTCAGGCCCCGGAGCCCCCAGGAGCCGTGGGGCAGCAGTGCCGTGGGGCGGCAGTGCCGTGGGGAGGCAGGCACGTGCCATCACCCCACGGGGCTTGGGGCTGGGGAGGGGGGGCGGGGGGCAGCCCCTGTAGGGCCCCAGGACTGACTGCCCCCCAGCCTCCCCCAGCCCTGCCCATGGCTCCCCCTGCCCCACACCCCCCCCCGCACCTTGGGGACCCCCATCAGCCAGGGCACTGGGGCTCCAGGAGGAGGGGTCAGATCGTGACCCCCAGGCAGCCCCCGCCCCGTGGGACCCGTCCTCGTCCCCCAGGCCCGGCCGCCCCCCAGGATAAAGTGCACATGAAGCCGGGGCGGCGCGTGGGGGCAGCGAGGCCGGGGGCAGCCGTCCCTCGGGGCACTGTGGGCCCGCCCTGCCGTGGCATCCCCGCGGTCCGGCCGTCACTGCAGGTACCGATAGGCCTTGAAGCAGTGGTTGCCCGAGTCAGCCACAACCACGTGGCCATCGGAGGTGAGCGCCAGCCCCTGCGGTCCGTACAGCGGGTCGGCCGCCGTGTTGATGTAGGACAGGAACGAGCCTGCGCTGTCAAACACCTGTGGGGGGACACGGCTGTCCCTGACGGCCCCACGGCCCAGGACTCCCAGCCCTGATGGTCCCAGACAGCCCCATGGCCCAGGGACCCCCCACCCCGATGGCCCCTGACGGCCCCACGGCCCAGGGACTCCCAGCCCTGATGGTCCCAGACAGCCCCACGGCCCAGGGGCCCCCAGTCCCTATGGCTCCCAACAGGCCCATGGCCCAGGGACACCCAGTCCCTATGGCCCCTGGACCTGCACGGGATCTGCAGGACCCACTCCCTGTGGGGAGGACGTGATCAAGTCCCCCCAGGTCCGTCCCAGTTGACACAAGATCCTTCCCAGTTGCTCCCAGTTAACCCTAAACCCCTCCCCAGTTCATCCCATTTGCTCCCAGATGACCCCAGACTCCTCCCCAGGCCATCCCAGTTGCTTCCAGTTGGCCCAAAACTCATCCCAGTTCCTCCCTAGACCCCCCCCATAGACTCTTACCAGTTGACCCGAGACCCATCCCAGTTGCTTTCAGTTGACCCCAGTTGGCTCCACAGTCTTCCCACTTGACCCAGTTGCTCCCAGTTGACTATAGCACCCCCTCAGACTGTTCCTAGTTGACTCCAGACCCTTCCCCGTTGTTCCCAGTTAATACCACTTGCCTCTCAGTGACCTCCAGGTGCCCCATAGCACCTTCCCAGTGCCTCCCAGGGCATCCCATCAAGAACACCTGGGGTTAGGGGGTCAGGGATTGGATGGAGAGGGGTTGGGGAGGGGCTGGTTCTGGGCCCCCTGGGGCTGCAGTGGGTGTGTGTGCAGGTCCAGTTGTGTGTGCAGGTCCAGCTGTGCAGGTCCAGGTGTGTGTTCAGGTACAGGTGTGTGTGCAGGTGCAGCTATGCAGGTACAGATGTGCGTGCAAGTGCAGCTGTGCAGGTACAGGTGGGTGCACAGGTACAGGTGTGTGTGCAGGTACAGGTACAGGTGTGTGCGGGTACAGGTGTTTGTGTGGGTACAGGTATTTGTGCAGGTCCAGGTGTGCAGTACAGGTGTGTGTGCAGGTACAGGTGTGCAGTACAGGTGTGTGTGCAGGTGCAGCTGTGCAGATGCAGCTGTGCAGGTGCAGTACCTGGATGCGGCTGTTGCCCCAGTCGGCCACGATGATGTTGCCGTTGCTGTCCACAGCCACCCCCGTGGGCGCGTTGAACTGCCCGTTGCCCTCCCCGTGCGACCCAAACTTGAACAGGAACTCGCCCTCTGCGTTGTACACCTGAGGGTGTGCAGGGGGGACACACCAGGGGGTCACAGGCCGTCATCACAGCCCCCCCAGGCCCCACGGCACCGGGGGGACCCCAGCACCGGCTCACCTTCACCGAGTGGTTGTGGAAGTCAGTCACCACGATCTCGTTCTTGTTGTTGACAGCCACAAAGTGGGGCCCTGGGGGAGACATGGGGTGGTCATCCCTGGGACTGGGGGGGCTTAGCCTTGGGGGGAATGGTGGGGCTCAGCTCTGGCCCCATGGCAGGACCAAGATGGACCCAAAGCCCTGACCCATGGACAGAGCCCAGAACCCAGGGCCACCAGCACGGAGCCACTGTCAGAACCTGAGCCCAGAGCCACAGCCCAGAACTGAATCCAGAACCCAGAGCCAGAACCTGGAAGAAGATCCCCAGCCCAGAGCCCCAAACCTGGCCCTGAAGCCAGAACCAGACCCTGAACGCCGGTCCGGCCCCAGAACTCAAACCAGAGCTCAGAACAAACCCCAAGCCCAGAGCCTGGATCCAGAGCCCCAGCTTGGAACCAGGTGGACCCAGAGCCTGGACCCAGCCCCCAGCCCACCACTGGGGCCCCGGTGCCACCAGCCACCCTGGTGACACCAGACACATGGTCCTGCCCGCCCCGGTCCCTGGGGAGCCCAAGGCCCCACAGCTGGGGACCCGGGGGGTACCTGCAAACTGGCGCTCGGCAGTGCCGCGGGAGCCGAAACGCGCCACCAGCTTCCCATTGGGCTGGAAGATGAAGACACAACAGGCCTTGTTGTCCACCACGATGATGTGCCCATTGCGGTCTACGGCGACACCCTTGGGGCCCATCAGCCGCCCTGCACCCAGCTTCGTCTGGGGGAGGCAGGGGGTCAGACCGGGGGGTGCCATGGACACCCAGCCCCACAGACCCCCCCACAGACACCCCCTGCTTTCTTTTTCCTCACCTTGAACTTGCCCTCAGGTGAGAACACGCTGACCCAGCGGTTGTCGTAGTCGGCCACGATGATGTCGCCATTGGTGTCCACAGAGACCCCCGTGGGGCGCTGGAGCTGCCCCGGGGAGCGCCCCCGCACCCCGAAACGCAGCCGGAACTGCCCCTCATTACTGAACACCTGGGGGGGCAGCAGGGCCGGGGGGGTCAGGGGAAGCACCCCCACACCCCAAAACGCAGCCAGAACTGCCCCTCATTACTGAACACCTGGGGGGGCAGCAGGGTCAGGGGTGTCCCGGGGGAGTCAGTGGGTGTCCTGGGGGAGTTTGTGGGTCTGGGGGGGCCTGTACCTGCACACATTGATTATTGCTAATGGGGCCAGTGGGGTCATGGGGATCTAGGGGTACCCAGGAGGGTCTTGGGGGGGTCAGTGGGGGTCCCAGGGGTCTATATCTGCATGCACTGGTTGCTGCTGCTGGGGTCAGTGGGGCAGGAGGGATTCAGCAGGGATCAGTACAGTGTCAGTGGGGGTCCCGAGGAAGTCTGGGAGTCCCAGGGGGTCCGTACCTGCACGCACTGGTTGTTGCTGTCAGCCACAACGATGCGGCCGGCACTGGACGTGGAGATCCCCTGCAGGTTTGTGAACTCGCCCTTCTCCCGGCCGCGGCTGCCTGCGGGCACCGGTCAGGGAGGCACGGGGGGCCCCAGGAAACCACTCACCACCCCAGTGAACCCCTTCCACCTCTGGGGCACTCCACCACACCAGGGACTCCCCCACAACTCCAGGGAGCCTTAGGGAGCCCTGGGGAGTCCCTGCTGCTGTGGGTAGCCCTACCACCCTGGGGAGCCCCCATTACCCTGGGGAGCCCCCATTACCCTGGGGAGCCCCAAGAAGGGTCTGCTGCTGTGGGGAGCCCTGAGGAGCCCCCCACCACCCTGAGGAGCCCCCACCACCCTGGCGAGCACCAAGGTCCCCCCGTGCCACCCGCTCACCGACACGGAAGATGAGCTCATCCTCGATGGGGTTCTCCTTGCGCTTGGCGCTGCCGTACATGCTGGCGGGGCGGCGCAGGGCCTTCTGCCGCACGTGCCCCCCGCCCGGGGACTTGACGCGGCGCTTGGCCTCCTCAGGGGATGGGGGCACGTCGCCGGGACGCAGGGCACGGGCGCGGAAGGGGGAGCCGCGCACGGGCTGCCCGTACAGCAGGATGGACAGCACGAAGTCGCCCTCGGCGCGCGGCGTGTACACCAGCTCGTAGGTGCCGTTGCGGTTGTCCTGCACCTCAGCCTCGGCCGCGGCGCCGTCGGGGCCCGTCACGGCGAAGCGCAGGCGGGCGCCGCCGCTGCGCACCAGCGCCCCGTCCTTGTCCTTGGTGGTGACGCTGAGCGAGCAGGGCTGCCCCACCACGGCCTGGCGCAGCCCCTCGCCCGTGGCCACCGTGGTGTGCGCCGTGGCGCTGGTGGTCAGCAGCGCGCCCAGGTTCTGGATGGAGCGGCGCAGCCCCTCGGGCTCAGCGCGGAACTCGAGCTGCGCGTTCTCGTGCGGGTGCTCAGGGAAGGGCCGTGCCGCCAGCTCCCGCAGCCGCTCGCCCATCTGCTTCTGCACCAGCAGCACCTCTGTGGCCGAGCCGTGGTGCAGCGCCTGCTCCGTGAACGCGCAGCTGCTCAGGATGCTCTCCTGGCCCTGCCGCAGCACCTCCAGCTGCGCCTCCAGCACCTGGGGGGAACAGCACCTGTGACACCAGGTGGGACCCACACCCAGCACCCACACCTGCATCGCTGTCTGCACCCCAGCCCTGGCCCCACCACAGCACCTCCAGTTGTGCCTCCAGTGCCTCTGGGCATGGCACATCTCTGTGGCACTGGGGCAGGACCCCCACACCCAATACCCCCAACCAACGCCCCACCTGCATCCCCCACCGGCACCTGCACCCGCACCACAGCCATGCCCACAACCCCAGCCCTGGTGCTGCACTGGGACCCCAACTGCCACACTGGGGGTGCCACTGGCACTGGGGCACGGCTGGGGCATGCACACCCTCCCAGGAAGGGCTGGCAAAGGGTGCAGGGGCACAGAAGGGCACACGAGGAAAGGTGTGTTACCTGCTGCTTGGCAGCACAGGTGGCCTCCAGGTCGCGCAGCAGCACCTCCCGCCGCTGCCGCAGAGCCGCCTCCAGCTCCTCGAAGCTGCTCCCGATCTCGGCCTCAGCCTCGGCCCGGCGCTGCCCCAGCTGCCGGCTGATCTCGGCCACCAGCCCCACGGCCGCTGCCAGCTGCGGGAGCCTGGAGGGACAAGGGGAGCCCCTGAATGCCTCCAGACCTCCAACTCCCTCTTCCAGCACCCCCAGCTCCACAGTGCTGCCCCAGCTGATCTCGGCCACCAGCCTTACTGCCGCTGCCAGCTCTGGGAGCCTGGGGGAATATGGGGACCCCCTGAACCCCCAAAGCCCCCCACAGCTGTAGGAGCCTGCAGGACTAGGACAGCAGGGGGACCCCAGATCCCCCTGGACCAGCCCCAGTCCTTCCAGCCCTCCTTCTCCCTGTACCATGTGTGAGTGACACCAAGCTGGTACTGCAGCCCGCGGGAGCAGGGCCGTGGTGACCCCCAGGCACCCCCCAGGCCCCCATACCTGGCCCGCACGGCATCGAGCTGGTGCTGCAGGGCCGCCTTGTGCTGCTCCAGCACATCCCGCAGCGGCACCGTGTGGTGGTCCCGGTGCTCCCGCCGCTCCCCCTCCGTGCACTCCCGGCACATGGCTGTCTCACAGGTCTCGCAGTAGAACTCCATCACCTGCCACACCTGTGCTCGTCAGCTGCCCCCCACCCCAGCCCACGGCGCCCTGCGGGACCCCCCCCTTCCTGAGCCCACACAGCTCCCACAGTGCCCCCCAAGACTCCCTGGACCGCTGTAGCCACCCCCCCCGGCCCACTGTGGACTCCCTCTCCAAGGCCTGCAGCCCCTCAGACCTCCTTGGCCCCCCCAGATCTCCACAGCCCCTCCTGTTACCCACAGGCCCCCCAGCGCTCCCCAGATCCCACACCCTCTGAGCCCCTCCAGCTCCTGCAGCCCCCCGGCCTCCCCTGCTCCCCCACCTCCCCTGAGCCCATACAGCCCATTGCAGCCCCCCGAGCCCCTCCAGCCCCCGAGCCCCCCAGCCCCCACCTTTCCCTCGTGGTTGGGGCAGCAAAGGGGCTGCCCGGTGGCGGCGCCCAGGGGGGGCAGGGGCGCAGGGGGGGCCCCGTGGGGGTCGGGGTCCCGCTGCAGCACCTCCATCAGGTTGGTGATGAAGAAGTTGTTGGGCAGTGCCGGGACCCCCCGCTCAGGCAGGATCGAGGTCTGGCGGCACACAGGACACGACAGGGACAGGCTCTGGGCCGGGATGTAGTTCTGCAGGCACCTGGGGTCACAGGGGCCATGGGGGTCACAGGGGTCAGGGGTCACAGAGAGCACAATAGGGCCAGGCTCTGGGCAGGGATGTAGTTCTGCAGGAGCCCCGGGTCACAAGGGGTCACAGGGGTCAGGTCAGGGGTAACCCAGGGCTGGACAGGGACAGGCTCTGGGCTGGGACACAGAGAGGGCAGGGACAGGAACTGGGCTGGTAGGGGAACATGGGGGAAAATGGGGTGACAGAAGATGGGACGGATGGAGGGACAGTGAGATGGGGATGGAGGGTCGGGATCCGCTGGGGATGGGGGTGGGGGCAGAACGAGGGAACAGAGGAACAGATGAATAGACGGGGGACAGAGAGATGGATGGTGGAGATGGATGGGGGACAGAAAGGTGGACAGGGAGCGTGGGACACGGGCAGAGCCATGGGGTTGGGGGTGGGCAGAGAACTGGCTGGACAGACAGACGGGGGGTCAGGCTGTGGGACAGGGGCACAGGGACAGGTCTGGGGGCAGGCAGTGGCAGGGGGACAGACAGATGGACAAGAAGGCTGCACATCGGGGGCAGGGACAGAGGGACAGTGGGGCAGCAGGATGGACAGATGGACAGGGGTTCAGAGCGCAGGCAGAAAGCAGGGGGACAGACGGACAGAGGGGCTGTGCCGTGGCACATTGGGGTGCAGGAATGGGGGAATGAGACACAGACTGAGGGGACCGATGGACAAGAGAGGAGCCTGCACCGTGTCACACTGGGGTGCAGGAGCAGGGCAAGGGGGACAGACGGACTGACAGACGGCAGGGCTGCACGGTGTCACACTGGGGTGTCAGTGGGACAGACGGACAAACAGACAGGAGGGCCGTGTGGTGTCACACTGAGGGGGAGCAGTGGCAGGGGGTGGCAGCCGGCCAGACAAATGGACAAACGGACAGGATGGACACAGGGCAGGGGTGCCAGCACCCTCGGGGGGAATGGACAGATGGACAGGAAGTGGATGGGGAGACTGAGGCAGGGCCGGGGGGCTCTGGGGGCACAGAGAGAGGAGGCTGTCAGCACCAAGACCCCCCCACTGCGGGGACCCCAGCCACAGCCCCCCATATACCCCACACTTGGGGGGCTCAGGGGCTGGGCACAGCAGTGGGGTCCCAGCCCCGCCGTGGGCCATGGAGTGCAGGGGGGTCTCAGCCCCCACCCCTGAGGGCACGGGGGGGCTCGGCCCCATGTCTCACTGGGGGGGTAGGGGGCCCACGGAGCCCTAGCTCTCCCACAGGTGGGGGGTGCTGGGGGGGGTGTCACACTGCAGGTTTGGGGGGTGCAAGGGGGGACACTGGGGTGCAACTGTCGGGGGGGACAGTGAGGGGAGCCAAGCTGGGGGACACAGGGGGGGTGCAGCAAGGCAGAAGAGGGCTGGGGGCACTGGGGGGGCAGGGGGGATTGGATGCTGGGGGGCCAGGGGGCTGCAGCAAGAATGCAGCACAGCCAGGGGGATGAGGGGCTGCAAGGGGGTGCAGTCAGGACATTGGGGGTGCATTGGGGGGTGCAGTCAGGACACAGTGGAGATGTGGTGGAGGTGGATGCTGGGGAGGTGCAACAGGGCAGAGGGTGTGCATGGGGGATACAGGGGGCTCAGAGACATGGTGGGGATGGAGGGGGGGTACTGGGGCACAGGGGGGATATCGGGAGCAGTGAGGGGCTGCAGTGAGGGGTCCCACCTCTCACAGAAGGTGTGCAGGCAGGGATAGGGCTCAGGGGGGTTGAGGGGGGCTCAGGGGGTCCCACCTCTCGCAGAAGGTGTGCAGGCAGGGCAGCACCTTGGGGTTGCGGTAGCGGTCGAGGCAGATGCTGCAGACCAGGAACTGCTGGTCGATCTGCCGCACCACCGGGCTGGCGGGCTCGCGGCGGGCCATGGCGGCTCCTCAGCCTGGGGGGCACGGCACAGTGAGGGGGGTGCCCCACAGCACCCCATGGAGCTCCACGGCACCCCACAGCCACGACCCATAGCCCCCACCCATCCCACAGGCTCATGGTGGGCCAAGGCAGACCCTCAGGCTAGGGAGGGGAGGATGTAAACGGGTGAGGGGCATCCCGTGGCACCCCACAACCCCCCACTCAACCCACAGTGCCCCACAGCCCCTTGCCCACCCCACGCCCTCACAGAGAGCCACGGTGGACCCTCACTCTGCGGCAGCAGGGTCATTGGGGTGTGGGCACCCTGGGGTATGCACAGCCCTGACCCACAGCACCCACAGTTCCCGATCCCACAGACACATCGAGGGGCACATGGGGGGGCTCCCCCTGCCCACCAATGTACCCACGACCCCCAGGTACCCAGAGCCAGCCCCACCCCTGCCCCCCAGCCCCACACGGCCCCGTGCCCCACAGCACTCACCTCCCACAGACCCACCGACCCCACTGTGCCCTATGGCACCCACCCCGTGCCCCGTGGGGCACCCACTCCACAGCACCCACAACCCCCACCCCCGACCCCACTGCCCTCCCTCCTGTGCCCCGCAGCTCCCACCCTACCCCCTGCTCCAAGGAGCACCCACCGCCCCCGCCACCCCCCACCGCCCCCCACCCCATCGCCCCCCTCCCCTCGCCCCGGCCCCGCTCACGGCGCTGCGGCGGCTCCGCGCTCCAGGCCCCGGCCCCGCCCCGGCCGCCATTGTGCGGCACCGCCCCCCCGCCACACCAGGACCCCGAGGGGGGTTTGGGGGGGTCCCACACCCCGCATTTCCCCATGGGGGTCTGCCCCCTTCATCCCCGCTCACCCACCCCTAAACCCCCCTTACCCACCCCACGATTGCCCCCCTCGCCCCCCCGATCCCCCACCGCTCACCCCGTGCCCACCGCCCCCCACCCGGGCCCCCCGACCCCACTCACCCCCCCCGTAGCCCCCTCCTCGCTCCAGCCCACGCCGCGGGACCCCACGGCGCATCCTCGGCCCCGGCCCGGGATGCGACAGGGAGGCGGCCGGGCCGGGCGGCACCAAGGGCGCCGGGAGGGGGGGATTAGACTTGTCACCCCTTCCCCCTTCAACGAGACACCCCCCGCCCGCGGATTGCCGACTCAGGGGCAGAAATGAGTCCCTCTGCGACGCGTTGCCGCCCCCGAGTGGGGGATCCGCGGGGGGGTCCCGTGAGAAAGTCCGTAAAGCGACCCCTCAACCCCCCCCGACGCGAGTGGTCTCGCCCGGGCTGTGGCTCTGCAGTGGGGGGGGACTTCGCGCATCCCGGGGTACCCGGCTGTTGCCACGGCAACAGCATCCCGCCCCCGAATTTGGGGGGTCCACCTCCCCAAATTGCGGGGGGATAGGATGGAGGAGGGAGGGGTGCGGGTACACACTGGGGGGTGGAGGTTTGGGGGGGGCTCACCAAGTGCGGAGAGATGGGTGGTATAAATAGGGGGGGAATAAAGGGAGGGAAAAGGGGGTCTAAAGGGAGGGCCGGGGGGGACACAGGGGGGTAAAAAGAGGGGTAAAGAAAGAGTTATGAAAGGGAGAGGGTATAAACAGGGTACCGGGGGCATGGGGCGTATAATCGAGGCACAAGGAAGGTACAAAGAGTGCCGTAAAGGGCAGGGGTTAGGAGTAATACCAGAGCCCAGTAGCCGTCCACACAGCCCCTCAGTCTGGGGGGATCCCACACCTGCCTGCTGCCACAGGTCCCCCTCCACCTCCTCCACGTGGGACTCCCCACTCATCACTCCCCCCCATCTCAGGTGGGCCCCCTCTGCCCTGCAGGGCAGGGTCCCCCCCTCAGCTCAGGACACGGGGAGCCCCTCACCGTGGCATCAGCCCCGCATGCTGCAGCCTCCAAGGGAATTCCAGCAGGTTCCTGGATGGCTTCTTTTGGAGGGAGGGGGGAGGAGCAGCTGGCAGCCCACCATAGCTGGGGGGTCCTGGCAGAGCTGGAGTTCAGGGGATGCAGAGGGGGTGACCCCATCTCTGGCCAGCTGACCACCAGAGTGAAGCGTGGGGGGACGGTAGACACAGGGACAGGAGGGTCCTGACCCAGCCCAGGGGGGTACAGGGACCCCCAACCCTGTGGGGTCTCAATGGGGAGAAGTGGCTCCAGGACAGACCCAGAGCTCTGTCATGAACCATCCTCCCAGTAAATCTGTCCCCATCCACGTGTGGCCCCCGTGTGGCCCCCAACCCCACACCTCATCCTCAGTGTCTGGAAGGTTCCTCAGCCAGGTCAGACCTGGTTGTGCAGCCGTTACAGTCCCCCAGGAGCAAGGAGGGTCATGGGGGTGCACAGAACATGGGATCCCTCCGGGCCCCCAGCTGGGCACCTCCGGCAGCAGCAGAAAGCGCTGGGGATCAGGGGTCCCAGGGGCTGCAGCCGGGATACCTGTGGCACAGGGCAGGGTTCAAGGGAGCCCCCCTCCACCAAGGACCTCCCCCAGCCCACCACCCTCACCTCCAGCAGCTCCTTGCCCCCACAGGGACCCCGACCCTTCCCCAGTGTCCCACATGGTCTGGCAGATGGGCCTGGGGGGACACAGCAGGTGCTGGGGACTCCCCACCCAGGTACAGAGGGACACTGAGCCCCTGGGGGTGACACCCCTGTCCCTGCAGGGGGCACACACCCACCCAACCCTTGCAGCTCAGTGAGATCAGGGACCCCCCACATCCATGTCTGGGGAGCAGTGGGTACCCCCATTCACCCCCCCCTGCCGGGACCCCAAAGAGGTGAGGAGCAGAGACCCTCAACACTCCCCCTGCCGGGACCTCCGGGGGTGGGTTCCACACCCACCCCTTCCCCCATGGAGAGGGTTTCAGTGTCCGGGGCAGCGCCCTGGAGGGACACTGGGGAGCGGGAATCTCCTGGGGGGCAGAATTTTCCACAGGGAGTGTCCCAGGGGTAGGTCAGTGACCCGGAGGTTGTCTGGAGGTCCCAGGGGAACAGCAGCCACAGGCAGGCAGGTTGAGGGGTGATGGAGGGGGGCACTGTTTGGCACCGAACCCAGTGCCCAGCCTGGGGAAGGGGAACTGGCCCCATGGGACCTCTCAGCTCCCAGTGTGACCAGTAGGATGGTAATGACAGCACTGGGACCCCTGTGCTGAGTGCCCCCAGCCCCCACTCCCGAGGCACCCCTAGCCCATCCCTGTTCAGCCCTGCCCTGTCCCGGCTCCTGCTGCAGGGTCAGGGTGAGGGGCAGCCCCTCAGTCACCCCCCAGAACCACCTCTTCCATGCACCAGCTCTCCACCCCGGGCCCTGTCCCTGTCACAGGGGTCCTGGCCCTTCTGGGGCTCATGCCCTTGTCTCCCACCGGCCCCAGCAGCCCCAGCCCATGGGGTGCAGTCCCCTAACACCCCCCAGCTCCCCAGCACAGGGGTCCCAGCTGCAGCCCAGCACACACTGATCCGTACCATTTATTGGGGTCTTACAGAAGTGTGGGGGGGTCAGATCGTCACCGGGAGGGGGGTTGGGGTCAGATCCCAACATTAAATTATGGGTTAAATTAATGAGCAAGAAAAACCAACAGTTTTGTCTCAGGAGAAAGTGCCCAAGTGCAGGGGCGGGCTGGGGGCCCCTCGTGGGGTGGGGGGGACACTGGCCAGGACCCCGGCCCTCCATGTGCAGCACACGTGCCCTGGGACACACGTGTCCCCGCACACAGATATGCACTGACACACGTGTGCACCTCCAGTGCCTCTGCTGGCGTTTGGTCCCTGCTTGGAGCTCCCCTGGCCCCCCCAGGGTCCCAGTGCTTGGCCAGCACCCTCCCCCCACTCCACTAGCAGCAGCGTGCAGGGACCCCCCCCAGCTCAGGATGCCACAGCCCCAGGGGAGCAGAGGGGGCTTTGAGGAGCGCAGCCCCCCCTGGGTCAGGAGTGCAAGAGCAGCCACCCCAGAAACACTTGGGATTGGCCTGGAGGGAGCCGGGGTGACCCAGGTGTCGGGGGGACAGCAGGAGCCCCCCCAGGGGGGGACCCAGCAGGGGACCCTCACAGCCCCCTGGCACAGGAGGGACCCGGCTGTTCCGGGGCTGCCCCCCCCAGCTCCACTGTGCCACAGGCAGGGGTCTCCCTGGGGGAGCAGGGAAAGGACCTGGGGGGGACACCCCCATCCTGCCTGGGGGAGGCAGAGGCAGGCTGTAGAGGGTCCTGGCCCACCCCGAGGTGAGCAGGGGGACCAGGGTGGGGGTGCAGCCCAGCAAGGGGGGCGTCCCCAGCCCCTCAGTGGCGCTGGGGGGCAGGGGTTCTCTGGCTGTCTGCTACGTGGGGGTCTGTGCTGAGGAGCTGCTGGACTCTACCCTGAGGGGGGCTGTGGGACAGTTGGGCCCCACCCCCACCCCTCTGGCAGCCCCCACCCCCAACAGGCCCAGGCTGTGCCCCCAGCAAGCCCCCGGCCACAACTCAGGTCCATGTGTACCCCACAGGGGGGCTCCCCCGTCCGGGGGGGTGCGGGGGGCTCACTGCTCCTCCAGCCAGGAGGGCTTCTCAGCGCCAGGGGTCTTGAGCTTGATGTTGAACTGCTTGAGGGTCTGCTCGAGCTGCTGCTGGTTCCCGGCAAAGTATGCAGAGATGGCGTTGTGGAACAGCAGCAGTTGCTTGTGCATCACCTTGATCTGGGACAGGGGGGGTTATGGTCCGGGGGGGCCCGACTCCAGCCCAGCAGCACAGAAAAGGACTGGGAAAGCCCTTGGAGGCCCCCCCAAGTCCCACTGCTCCCCCAGCACTGCCCACCCCACCGCTGAACCATGTCATCGAGTACCACATCCAACACAGCTGTTAAATCCTTGCGGGGACACCCCGCCCCTGCACCCCCCATCTGTGTCTCCCATCCCTGTCCCATACCCCTCACCCCCGTGCCCCCCACCCTGCATGCCCCACCACGCACCCCATCCCTATTCCACCCACGATCCCCCTGCCACCTTGTTCTCCTCCAGGAACTTGAGCTTTATGGCCACGTCTGCCCGCAACTTCTCGTACTTGTCCTTGTGGCTCTGGAATTGGCTCTGGGCCGCGTCCAGGCGGCTCACGGCGCCAGCATCACGCGGGCCCATGCTCAGCTCCTCCAGGTCCGTGCGGTACGCGTCATACTCCAGCCTGCCAGGGACCCCTGGCATCAGCGACCTGCCCCCAGAGCCCCCCAGGACCCTTGAGCCCCCCCATCACTTCCCCTGTCCCACCTGGCTGTCTCATACTGCTTGACCGTCATGAGTGTGTCTTCCATGGTCTTGTTGACCAGCGTGTTGATGCTGGACACAAAGAAGTTGACGGCGCCCAGCAGCGTCTCCCCGTTCTTGCACAGCAGCTTTTGTGTCTCCGCGTTGTACCCAAACTCCTCCTGGCACCGGACAGGGGCCACAGTCACAGCTCCGCTCCCCTCCATTGAGGGCCTCTTGGGTTGGAAAACTCTCTCCCCCGAGACCACCGAGCCCAACCACAACCCAGCGCCACCAAGCCCAGCTCCAGCTCACATCCCTACCTGCACAGGCTGTCACCCCTAGTCCCAGCAGTCCCCATCTCCCCTGGCCCTGCTGCCCAGGTGTCCCTGCTCTGCCCTGGTGCCCAGGTGTCCCCCAGCCCCGGCCCTGCTGCCCAAGTGTCCCCCCCCAGTCCCGGTGCCCAGGTGTCCCCCAGTGCTGGTGGTTCCCATGTGCCCCCTGGCACACCTGGAGCTCAGGGGATTTCTGGCTGAGATCGGCGAAGGCGTCGCCCAGGGCGTGCTGTGTCTGCACGAGGCTGTACAGGTGGGCCGTGAGCGCCCGTGCCAGCTGCAGGACGCTCTCGTACTTGCGCTTGGTCTCGCGCAGCAGCTCGATCTGTGTCTCCAGCTCCAGGTCCACCGTGCGGGACCCCCGCCCGAACCGCTCTGACAGCAGCTGCTTGGTGCACTGCGGGATGGGGGGTCAGGGGGCCCGGGGGGTGTGTGGACCCCCCAACTGCTCCAAGAGCAGCTGCTCAGGGCACTGCAGGACAGGGGGTTGGGAGGCCCGCTGGGGTACCCTCAGTCCTCACCTTGTAGGTGTTGATCCCCCATTTCTTGACGATGTCAAACTTCTCGACAGCGATGCCACGCACGACCTCCTCCCCGCTGGGTGGGGGGCCGGGGGGGGGGGTGTGCAGCCCGGGGCCTGGCACGGGGACAGCACCTGGCACCAGCTCTGGGGGGGGCAGCGCCCACGGTGGGCCAGGCCGCCCCTCCCCTCCAGAGCCACTGTCCCCACAGCAGGGTCCCCAGCTCTGGCCACGTGTGTGCCCAGCACCAGCTCATGGGCATCGCGGTGGGAACCCTGCTCCTGCCAGCCCCCCAGGGGGCCCCACACAGGGGAACAGACCCCAGCCCAGCCACATCTGGCAGCATAGCCGAGCCCAGGCCCTGCCTTGTTCTGCTGTCCCCCATCGTCAGGGGGGAGCAGGACCTGGCAGCACCAGGGGACCCCCGGGTGGGCTGCAGGGGCAGGGAGGACCCCCTGACTGGGACCCACCTCTGAGACCCCCAGGCCCATCAGCACTGTCCTTTGTCCCAGTAGCAGGACGGGTCGGGGTGGGGAGAAGGGCAGTACCTGCAGGGGAGGCGGCCAGGCGGGCCATCCTGCGGGCAGCGGGCGCGCTGGGGGGCACCGACGGTCCTCGGGGGGAGTGAGGGTGGACAAGAGAGCCTGGAAACGGGGGGGCTGCGGGTGCCGAGCGGGGGTCGGGGCAGGATGGCAGGGCACAAGGCACGGGACGGGGATGACCAGGGCAGACGGGACAGGGGGCAGGGGGCAGGGAGTGGGGACGAGTGCGCGGGCATGCGGCAGCGGACAGCGATGGCAGCAGATGAGTGTTGGAACACAGAGACGTGGCTGCGGCCACACAGATGGACCCCTCTGCCCCAGGGAACCCCCCCCCAACCCCCTCTGGCTCCTCTGTAGGGATCCCTGTGCTCCGAGATCCGGGCAGGCCTGGTGTGCCGGGGACACAGGGCTGCCAGCCCCGGGAGAGCACGCACACACAAACTCCCTCTGCCCGCACAGACCCCTCCAGGCCCCGTGGGGGCTGGGGTCTGCCATGGAGGGACTTTCAGGGTCAGATCCATGTGGAACAAGGACAGAGGAACAGCAGTGCCAGGGCTCCTGCAGCACAGGGCCGCCCTGGCCCCACCACAGCCTGACCCAGCTGGGGCAGTGAGGAGAGTGCAGTGGAGAGCGGGGCTGAGCTCTCCAGTGAGAGCACTGCCTCAGTGCCTTCTGCCTGCCCCCGCCATCCCTGGCACAGCCCAGAGCTCTCACTGCCCCTGGCCTGCGGCAAAGGCAGGACCCTTCACCAGAAGGCCCCAGAGAACCTTGCTGGGGTGTCCTGGCTGAGAGGACAGAGATTCCACGGCAGAGACCCCACCTTGGCCCAGGGGGAGCAGGGCTTGGGTCAGCAGCACAGCCCCCATACGGTACCCCTGCACAGGGCCTGAGCCCAGCGGGGATGAAGCCCCCCAGGAGGGGCCTCGGCTGAGCGGCCGCAGCAGAGCTTCGTGCCAGAACTGGGGACACTGAGGGCAGACAAGCACACCCTCCCCTGCAGGAGCCCCCCTGACAGCCTGTCCCCAGTACCTTTGATAGTGCCTGTGGGGATGATGCCCTCGGCCGTACCCCCATAGCCGCCCGACACAATGCTGGTCTCATTGAGGTTGGGTCCCGACACCATCACCTGCTGCAGGTCCTGGGGGGCAAAGGAGAGTGGGGGGCTGAGCTGCAGGGCCAGCTCAGCCTCAGCAGGGCCCCGGCACAACCCTAAACACCCCCGGGGTCCCCAGCCCCCCAGACCTGCTCCAGGCCATCATCCTCGGGCAGGCTGCTCGTGTCCCCGTTGCTGCTGATGGGGATCTCCATGGTGGCCGCCTTGCTCAGGATCCCGTCCGACATCCTCAGGGCCTGAGGGGACACGGAGGCGGCGCTAGGACCTGTAGGGCCGGGCTCCGATGCCAGGGGTAGGAGAGGGCAACGTGGGGGGTCCCACTCCGGCAGCTGCCGGCACTAAGCAGCCTCTGTCCCTGCCCAGGGCCTCCTGCAGCCACTGTCCTGCCCGGCCCTCGGGGCTCCCCTGGCTCCCAGAACGCTCCCGGGGAGTGGAGCGGGCACGTCACGGAGGCACCAGTCCCAACCCCGACCCCGGTGCCAACCCCAGCCCCGCGTCGGCTCTCCCCCGTTCTGCCCAGGCCCCCCCGGGCCCCTCCGCTCCCAGGGCCGGACCGCGCGCCCCCTCACAGATCCCGGCGGGGACCCGCAGCCGCTGTCCCGGGGCAGCGGCGCCAGCAGCGCCGGCCTGGCCCGCAGGAGCGCGCCGGGAGCCACGTCCGCAGCCCAGGGGGTGCGGGGGGGCCCCGAGCGCCCAGACCGGTCCGGGCACATTCCAGGGCAGGCGGGGCCCGGGACGGGATCCAGGTGCCCGTTATCTGTGCCGTGTCCCTGGGCCCGGCTCGGCGGGGACGGCCCTGCCGCTGGGATGGGCCGGGCCGGCACCACCCCGCGCCATCTCCCGGGGATGCGGCCCTGCAGCCCCCGGGACGTGACCGCCCGCACCCACCCCCGGCCGAGCTCCGGGGCCCCCGCGCCGGGACCGACCCCCGCGGGGACCCCGGGCGGCCGCTTCCGGTGGGACCGGCCAGAGACGGCCCGGCCCCATCCCGGGGCCGTCCCGGACAGGCCCCGCCGCCCCGCGGCCGCTCCCCGCGCGCGGTACCCCCCGGCCCCACCTGCGCCCCGGCCCCGCCGGGCCCCCCCGCGCCGCTCCCGCTCCGCCTCGGCCCGGACGCGCCGGAAGCGTCGCACGGCAGCGCCGCGCCGGAAGTGGCGTCAGTGGCGCGCCGTCGGGAACCGCCGTCGGGGCGGGCCCCGCCGAGCGCGGGGGCACCGGCGGGCCCGGCATGGACCCCGCGGCCGAGCACCGCCAGCAGCTCCGCAGCGTGAGCGGCCGGGACGGGGGCGCAGGGGGCTGGGCTCGTGGGGCTTTCGGGCGGGATCCCGAGGCCCCGGGTTCGGAGCGGCCCGTGGCTTTCGGGCCGGTGTGGGGGGTCCCGGTGGGTTTCGGCGGTCCTGGCCCCTGCCCCGGTGTGACTCCCCCCGTGCCCCCCAGCTACGAGACTTCCTGCTGGTTTACAACCGCATGACCGAGCTCTGCTTCCGCCACTGCGTCTGTAGCCTCAACTACCGGCTGCTCACAGGCCGCGAGGTGAGCGGGGCGGGGGGGGGCGGGCGGCCCAGGGGTCCCCGCGCCCCCTGACCCGCCAGCCCGTCCCGTCCCGTCCCGCAGGAGTCGTGCCTGGATAGCTGCGCCGCGAGGCTGGTCCGTGCCAACCACCGCCTGATGAGCGCCTACGTGGGGCTGGTGCCCGCGCTGCTGCAGCGCCGCGCGGCCGAGCACGGTGCCGCGGGACCCCCGGCCGCGCCCGGCCCGGCCCCAGGCCCCGCCGCGCCCTCGCCCGACGCTCCCGGTGCCGGCACGTAGCACGGCCCGGCCATGCCTTCCCACGGCGGCGGTGGGGCAGGATCGGCCCCCCGGTCCTGGCGGGAGCAGCAGCGCCGGGGCCCCACCGAAGCTCCGGGCGGGAGCAGCGGCTTCACTCGGCCCTGAGAGTCCCCGGGCCGGCGGCACAGAAAGAGGGGATCCCCCACGTGTCTGGATGTTTGGGAAGTGGATGTGTGGTGCCAATAAAACGTCTCTTCAGCAACGGCTCCGTCCCATGCTCCAGGAGGGCACCAGAGCCCCAACCCTGTCTGGCAGGGGTAGCCCATGGGGAGCCCAAGGCACAACTGGGAATCCTGCCTAAACATGAGACAGACGTCTCTGTGGGGGCTGCAGAGGGGCAGCACCAGGCTGTCCGGGAGGCCCTGTCATGGCAGAGGGGCAGCACCGGGGGGGGGAGAAGGGTCACAGCTGCTCCACCTGGGCAAATGGATACCCCCAGGGGTCCTGGGCCTGATCCTCCAGCTCCAGCCAGCACTGGGGGATCCATGGGGTCTCCATGTGGGCCAGGGGCAGCACAGAGGCTCCTGATGGACACACTGGGGAGGGTCCTGGTCCTGCAGCTCTGACCAGTGCTGGGGAGCTCCCAGAGTAAGGGGAGCCCCTGGAGTAGGACGAGCCTGGAACAGGGTATCACAGGGCCAGTGCTGCCCTCAGAGCTGGGGTCACTGCAGGGAGGCTGCAGGACCCCCGTGGGCACCAGGACAGGGGTGTTACAAATGGCTGGTGCAGAGCAGGCACCCAGTGCCAGGGGGTGTTGGGTGCTGCGGGGCCATTGCCTCCAGCCCAGGGCCTGCATGTGCAGGGAGAGCCTGTCCCCTGCCTGTGCTGCCCAGGGTCAGAGGGGATGTGCTGCAGCCCCCAGCCTGGGCTCAGGGCTTGAGCAGGAGCCCCAGTACAGAAATAAATCAATATATTCCATGTATAAAACATGCTCCTGCGGCCCGGCCGGACACTCCCACGCATATAAATAAGGCCCGGCCGGGCGCCCCCCTGTCCTGCCCGCGGGGCCAGCGCCTGCGCCGGAGCCACCCCTCCCGCGGGACCCCCGGGCTGGCCGGGGTCACTTGAGGTCCACATCAAAGTCCAGCACCAGCAGCTTGGTCTCCTCGGTGCCATTGCGGCTGCCCACGGCGCACACCAGCTTTGTGTTGGAGGCACGGATGCGCCACACGACGCCCCCAGAGCCCCCGCTCTCCAGGGCCACCAGGTTCCGCACAAATTCCCCCGTCTTCAGGTCCCACAGCTTCACTGTCCCATCGTCAGAGCTGGTCACCACGAACTTGGAGCTGAACTGCAGGCAGGTCACAGCACTCTGGTGCTTGCTGGGACCTGCAGGGAGAGAGCTGTGAGCCCCAGGAGCACCCGGGGCACCCACGGCTGCGTGACACCTGCCCTGCCTCATCTGGGGCACCCACAGCCAGGTGACACCTGCCCTCCCACATCTGGGAACCCCACTCCCTCTGCAGCCCCCTGAGGGAAGGAACTGCTCCCTCCCAGCCCCCTGATTGAAGGGAGCCCCCCCTGCCACCCGCAGGCCCCCGAGGGTGGGGAACACCCCTCACCCTGCAGTGTCTGCAGGCACTGCCCCGTCTTGATGTCCCAGATCTTGACGGTGGAGTCGGCGTTGCCAGACACGAGGATGTTGTCGCGCAGCTCCATCCCACTGGTGAGGGACTGGTGCCCCATGAGGGTGTGCAGGCAGTTCCCGCTCTCCACATCCCACACGCGGATCGACGTGTCTAGGGACCCGCTCACAATGTGCGTCCCATCAAACTGCCAGAGGGGGAGGCCCGGCTCAGCCACTGGAGCCAGGAGTGCCCCCCACTTTGGGGTGCAGCCCCCCCAGCTCCAGCTCAGTCCCTGGCTCAGTGGCTGAGTCATGGCCTTACATACCCCTCAGCTTTTTGGGGTCTACAAATGCTCCAGGGAACGGGCACAGAGGAGTGTTTGTGCCCACAGCATGTGTGTGGGAGGGAGTGTCAGGGAGGTAGAGTGTCCCCACAGGACACAGATGTGGTCCATATGTCTTTGCATGGCACAGATGTGTCCCTTAAGGGCACAGATGTGGCCTACGTGTCCCTGCAACACACATAGGGACTGTGTGGCACAGCTTGTGCCCCATGACTGGAAAGCAGGGGAGTGACAGGTGAAGGCAGCAGAAGGGCAGGTGTGTGAGGTTATACCTGCAGGGAGCAAAGAAATCAGGGGAGCTGGAGGGGGGGAACGCAGCAGGAGGGGAGGTGTGTAGGGCTGTACCTGCAGGGAGAGCAGGGCAGCCAAGGGGTGAAGGCAGCAGGAGGGGAGGTGTGTAGGGAGAGCAGGGCAGCTGGAGGGGGGAAGGTAGCAGGAGGGGAGGTGTGGGGCCGTACCTGCAGGGAGTAAACACGGTTGGTGTGCCCCTGCAGGGTGTGGGTGCAGCTCTCGCTCTCGGGGTCCCACACCTTGACCGTGTAGTCGTAGGCGCCACTGACCACCTTGTTGCCATCGTACTGGACGCAGCGCACGGCCGCCACATGCCCCATCAGCACGTGCAGGCACTGCCCCGTCTCGATGTCCCAGAGCCGCAGCGTGGCGTCCCGGGAGCCGCTCACCACCCTGTGGGCAAGGGGACACCTGGGGCCTGACTGCCAGGGTGGCCCCAGGGCAACAAGGTTCACCTCCTGGGCTCCCCCTCCCACAGAGCTTGCTCAGCCCGTACCTGTTGCCGTGCAGGTGCATGCAACGCACGGTGGAGGTGTGTCCATACAGCGTGTGCACGCACTCGCCACTGTCCGCGTTCCACACCTTGAGCGTGCGGTCCGTGGAGCCACTGATGACGATGCTGTCCCTCATCTGGGAGGACCACACGCCCCCCGTGTGGCCCACCAGTGTCTGCACACACTGCAGGGGGCAGGGCGTGAGGGACAGGTGGGCCTCTCCCACCTACCCCCACCTGCGGCAGGGCAGAGCAGCACAGCTCAACGTCCTTGTCACTAGGAGCCCAAACTGATCCCCGGAGTCAGGGTGCAGCCACATCTGTGCTCAGCATAGGGGGCTGGTCCCTGTCCCAGCCCCCCGTGGCACCAGTGACAGTGCCACACTCATCTGCCCCATAACAGTAACATCTGCCCAGTGACAGTGACACCTGCCCAGGGACTGTGACACCTGCCCCGTGACAGGGACACTCACCTCCCCGGTGACAGCCGACCACACCTTGAGCGTGTTGTCATCAGAGCCGCTGACGATGCGGTTCCCGCAGAACTGAAGGCACGTGATCACATGGTCGTCATGGCCTTTCAGCACCTGTGGGAGCACAGGCACGGAGGAGGGGCAGTGTGGGCCCCCAAGCCCACAGGACCCCCCAAACACGGTGAGCAGCGGGAGGCAGCAGGTGCCACGTGGAGGAAGGGCAGAGGGCTCCCCAAATCACCTGCACCTCCCAGTGCTTCTGCAGGGCAACAGAGCCAGGGGGAGTGGTTGGGCAGCTGCTGCCAGGGGCAGGAGCCTACTGGGGAACAGGGAGTGGGGGGTGCTCAGGAGCAAGACAAGAGGCAGCAAAGGCTCTGCCCAGAGGGCAGGAGGGACCCCCAGGGAGAGCATCCCAGGGATCTGGGACCCTGCATGGGAGACAGCTGAGCCCTGGGGGGCTGTACCCTCCCTGGGTACTGGAGTTGGCTGCAGCTCTGCACAGGGGCTTAGAGAAGGGCAAGGGGAGGGTCCCTCCTTACTCAAGCCCATGGGACTCCACTTCTGCTGCCCCCACTGCTTCGAGTTGGATCTGCTCCCTGTGGCTGATCCCACACCAGCTCCCCCTGTTGCAGTGCCCCAGACCCACCTTGGGGGCTCTCAGCTCCCCAGAGTCTGTCCCTGGTGGACACCCAGACCCACCTTGGGAGGCCGCAGCTCCCCACTGCGCCAGTTCATGTCGATGCGGTGCTGGCGCAGGAAGGCGAATTTCCAGGGGCTGTACATGAACCCGGGGCTCAGCAGGCGCCGCTTCCGCAGGTGCAAGGGCTCCTCGATCCCTGTGGGGGGAATGCAGCGGTGCCTCACCTGAGCTGAGCCCAGGGTGGCCCCCAGCCTCCACCCTGGGGGGCCCTCACCTTCCTCACGGCACTTCTCCCTCCAGAGCAGGTTGTCCTCAGCCAGGACTCTCCAGTAGCGGCAGGTCTGGGCAGCGCGGAGCAGGTCCCGCGGCTCCAGGAAGGACAGGACATACAAGGCCAACTGCACAGGGGACAGGGGTCACAGGGGCCCCTGGGGGGGGTCAGGCCGTGCCTGTGGGCCCCCAGCCCCACTTACCTCCTTGGGCAGCAGAGAGATGAAGTCCCGCTGGAACTGGGGCTCGATGACCTGCATCATGTACTTGATCTGCGCCGGCTCGCAGCGGTCAATGAGCTCGTCCAGGGCCAGCAGCTTCTCGGGGCCACTCCAGCGCTGCAGGGAGACCCCCGGTGACCCCCAGCTCCGTGTCCCTAACCACAGGCCAGCACCCAGGTGGGGACCTCCTGGTGCCCCCAGCCCAGCCAGCCTGGGCTCCCGCACCAGTCCCCAGGCCAGGAACCCACGGCAGACGGGAGCTTGGTGGGACACATGCGGTGGGTCACAGGTCACGTGCAGTGTAACAGGTGACACCATCCCAGGCCAGGGGGGCAGCAGGATGGGGCAGTAGGATGGGGCTGACACCCCCTCTGTGCTCCCTCACCTGAGCAAAACTCCCCAAAATGCACTGTGGGCCCAGCCCCTGCCCGCAGTGGGGATCCATCGGGCCTGGCTCCTACCCTTTGGAGGCCTAAGTGAGCCATACCTGAAAGGTGCGGAGCCAATCCTGCAGCTCAGGTGGGGGAGCCACCGAGGGGATGCGGCGGCGCCGGGCCTGCCCCGCCTTGGCATTGCGCAGGTCCCCGAAGGTGGTGGTGGGGCTGGGCGTGCAGGGACCCAGTGTCCTGGGAGAGACCAGGCACAGGTGAGGCCAGGGCACAGGTGAGGCATGCCAGCACTGCTCCAGGCCATGCTGTGCCAGAGGATCCAGGAACTGGTCCCCACCGCTGGGAGCTCCACCCTGCTGACTCTCTCCCCTTGCTCCCACCCTGCTGACCCCTTGCCCAGACTCCCACCCGGCCACAGCCCCCAGCCCAGCCTGCTCAGAAAATGGACAACTAGTCAGGCCTGGAGATCATCTGGGCCAAACCCTGATCAACCCAGGTAGCTCCAGCATCCTCTCGGGGTGAGCCGGAGAAGGTATGTGTCCCCCCCAGCACATGGAACCCGCTCACCTGCTGTACTCAGAGCCCCCTCCCCCTTCACCTTGCATACCCAGAGCCCCCTCACCTGCCATATTCAGAGCCCTTGCACAGCTTCTTCCCAGGGGACAGGGCCCGGCCATCCGGGCCGTTCTCTGACTTCCGCTTCATCTGCGGGACACGGCAGGTTGGAGGGGCTGAGGCAGACCCAGACCCCACTGACCCCTTTGAACTCCCCACCCAGAGCTGAACCCCACATTTCCCTAAATATTGCCTGCCCAAAGCCGACCCCTGTGGATGCCCTGCCCAGAGCCACTGGGAAAACCTCTGCCCCTCCTGCTGCCCCTCTTCAGGGTCCACATGGCAATCACGGACTCCCCTGCAGGGCAGGGGGGCTGCAGCAGGGCTGGGGACTGGGGCAGGGCCTCCTTCCCCAGCCCCAGCAGCCGGGCACCAGGGACCCCCCCAGCGCTCAGCCCAGCAGCCCCCTCATGACAGCCCCCAGCCCCCCAATGTGTCAGGGTGACAGCAGCAACAGCCAGCCCCACCCTCCCCCCTGCAGGACCCCCACGCGCCTCATCAGCCCCCTCGGTCACCCCCACGGTCACCTTGGGGCGCAGGTGCCGCAGCAGCCCCCGGTCCCCTGTGCGCTGCAGGTAGTCAATCCAGCGCTCCCCCAGAGTGTAGTACAGGTACACGTTGCTGCTGTCCTCCCCCTCCTCGCTGCAGCAGCTCCCTTCCTCTTCCTCCTCCTCTTCTTCCTCCTCTTCCTCCTCCTGCTCCCCAGCAGAACTGGGGGGCTCCTGCACTCCCCGCCCCCCAGATGCATCAGGCTCTGCTCCAGACCCGGGGCTGCCCTTCCCAGGGCGCTCTGACTCCCAGGGCCCTGGCGCTTCCTCCTCCTCCTCCTCGTCCTCCTCCTCCTCCTCGGCCACCGCCTGAGCACAGGGAGAGGCATGGGCAGGGCTGGTCCACACCAGCATTGGGGGGCTGGGGAGCTGCCAGTGAGAGCCAGAGCCCCGAAGCACAGGGACTCCACTCACCAGCACCACGGGGGTCATGGGGCCAAGCACCCCCCAGACCACGGGCACCAGCTGCTCCAGAGCCCAGTGCAGGTCTGTCAGCTCCCCACACACCAGCTCCCCTCCCTCGGCCCTGCCCCTACCTGTGCCGCGGGCACCCTGCTGTCCCCACTGTCCCCTGGCTGGGCGGGGTTGGCCCGTGGGGCCCCCTCGGGGCCGGGGCGCCGCCGGCACGTCATGCGCTGGCTGTTGAGCTCCAGGATGCGTGTGGTGATGCCCTTGACGTGCAGCAGGTCATCCAGGCAGGTGAAGCCCTTCAGCTCCTGCGGGGAGCGAAGTCAGCCCTGCCAGGAACAGCTGCTCCCGGGAATCCCTCCCGTTCCCACAGATCCCCTGCCCGAGCAGCCTCACGGGGAACGGGCACGGCCCCGGGGCAGGGGCACTGTGCCCCCCATGGAGCAGTGCGGCTCCGGGCCGTCCTGCGGGACCCCGGGGCGAGCACCGCCCGGGCCCGACCCGGTAGCAGGAACCTCCCGTCACACCCGCATTGGCTCCCGCCGCGCCTGCCACGGGATGAACCCGGCCGGGCTGTGCCGGGGCAGGACCCAGCGGGGACCCAAGCGCAGCTCCGAGTCCCGGCAGGGCCCGGACAGCCCTTCAGACCCGGCAGGGTTCGGTTTACGGCGATACTGCTGCTGCTCCCTAACAGCAGCACCAACCGGGATCGCCCTACTCCAGACCCCCCTCACCGCCCCTCGGACCAACCCCCCCTTGCGTAACCGCCCCCTGCCCTCCCGGCGCTTCCATTCCCGGTGTTCCCAGCTGCTCCCGCCCCCTCACCTCCCCTTTCCCAGCCCAAAACAAGCCGAGCGCCCCCGGCGCTGTCCCCGTGGCAGGGCTGGCGCTGACCCGCCCGTCCGTGCCGCTCCTGTCCGTGTCACCGGTCGCCGCGGGGTGCCCCCGCAAGCAGTTCCCGCCCCATAAGCGCCGGTGACGGCGCTCGGAGGCCGCCAGGGCGCGGTGCCCGCCCCGCCCCGCCGGAACCCGCGTTCCCCGGAGCAGGCAGCCAGGGACGGCGGCACCGAGGCCGCTCGGGGGGCATCTGCGCTCACCCGGCCCCGCGGGGATCCCGACCCAGCCCCTGAGGCGAACCCAGATACCGAGACGAACGCGGCCCCCACGCTCGCCCCCCCGCCCCCAGGAGCGGCACCGGCACCCCCGCCCTGGCACTCCCGGGACCGACACCCCGCCCCGCCGCCCCCTCCCCGGCCCCGCCGCCTCCCCCGGACCTCTCTCTTGCGGACAATGCCTCGGGCGCGGCGGCGGCCGATGCCGCTGAGGGCACCCTCCAGCTCGGCTACGCCGGCGCGGTTGATGTCGAGCTTGGCCCCGCCGGGGCCCGGCCCGCCCGGCCCCGACATCCCGGTACCGGCCCCGGGCGCCGCCGCCGCCGCGCAGGCCCGACCGTACCGCGCACGCGTGGCCAAGGCCCCGCCCCCCCGCCCCCGACACGCACGCGGAGCAGAGCGGAAACAGCGGCTTTATTGGTGGTGAGCGCGCGCGAGGGGGCGGGGCCAGCCTCGGCGGCCCCGCCCCCATCACCGCCGCTTGTACAGGCAGGGCCGCAGTCGCAGCCCCGGCGCGGGGCCCGTCCGGCACGGGCCCGTCTTGGCGAATTCTAGCACGTAGAAGTAGGAGCTGGAGAGGTCCTGGGGGCACAGGAACAGCCGGCTCCATCACCAGCACCCCGCGATCACCGGGGACTCCAGCACTCGCGGGTGCCAGCACCACCCACTGCCAGCACAGCACTGTGGCCCCAGCGAGCCCCATGTTCCCCCTACGTGCTCCGGGCCCTCCTCCATCCCGCCCCACAGCCCCTGTGTGCCCCCAGTGCCCCAGATGCCACCCCAGACCCTGACCCCAATGCACCCCCCAACCTCCATAACCCCATCATCAATCCCCAAACCACAATCCCTCCCGGCCCTGGTACCCTTGACACTCTCCAGGCTCCACCACCACCACACCCAGGCCCTGCACCACAGGCCCAGTGGGCCCCAGGTTCCACCTACCAGACCCCAGCAGCCCTTTCCCTGCATACCCTGAGTGCCCTTGACCCCTGGTGTGCCCCTCTCCTCAATACCCCCACACTACACCCCCTATGACTGCCAGGTCTCTCAAACCTCTGTCCAGACCCCCACCCCTGTGGGCACTGGGTTCCCCCCCAACACCCATGTGATTTCATCACCCCAGGGGCCTGCTCCCCCCCAGCACCAGGCTGGGCCCCAGCACACCTTCCCCACAGGCTCCTTCCTGGAGCTCCCCAGTTCCCAGTGCACCCTCAGTGCCCAACCTGGGCATACCCGGGGACATACCTTGGAGACTGTCCTGAAGCCCAGCTGTGCCATGGCCTTCAGGAAGGTGCGGATGTCCTCGAAGCGGCTGGCCACCTCGGCCACCATCAGGGTCCCCCTGCAGTCACCCCGGTCCTGAGCGGGGTGCCCAGGCACCCCTGGGGCACGGCCAGTGCCTCTGTCCCCCCCCCCCTCGCTGCCCCCCAATCCCTGCCTACCCCAACTTGAGCACGCGGTTGGCCTCCCCCAGGATCTCCTGCAGGTTGGTGCCCATCAGCGCCAGGCAGAACACAGCCACGTCCACTGACTCATCTGCCAGCGGCACCTGCCAACCCGGGACAGCCCAGAGGAGAAGGAGGGTGGTGATGGGGCTGGACAGCCCCACGGGGCTCCCCAGGCTTGTGGGTCCAGATGAGCCCCGTCTCCAGCTGCCTGAGACAGACGCACGGGACCCTCGGGGTCACCGTCCCCTCCCCGCAGCCTGCCCGGCAGCACCCGCCCCCGCTTCGTAGGCGTCCCGGTACCTCGGCCATGTCACAGACAGTGACACGCGGGCTCAGCGGCACCAGGTCGAAGCAGTGCACCTGGTTCCTGACGCTGGCGGCCAGCGTGCAGTCCCCGCACCCGAAATCCGCCACCACGAGCGACGCCGGCCTGGGGGGGGCAGCGGGGTAAGGGCGGCCCGGCCTGACGTCCCCCCGGTGCGACCCCTGGTCCATCCCCAGTACAACCCCGGTCCCCGCTCACCGGCGGCGCAGGTAGCGCACGATGCGCTGCACGGGCCGCTCGGGCCAGCGCCGCACTTGGCGCTCGAAGCCGCGGTGGTACAGGTGGAAGGCGGCGGGATCCGCGCGGAAGAGCCGCGCCGCGTCCCGGCTGCTGCCGGTGTAGAGCTGCTGGTTCAGGTACCGGAACTGGGCGCCGAGCAGCCGCTCCTCCATCCGCGCGCGGAGCGCGGCCGAGCGGCCCGAGCGGGGCTCTGGGGGCGCCTCCGGGGGGCTCGGCGGCTCCGGGGGACCCGGCCCCGAGCCCCGTTCCCCGCCCGGCCCCGCCGCCGGCTCCTGCTGCCGCCGCCGCTTCTTCTGCCGGTTCCGCCGCTGCCTCCGGCTCAGCTCCGCCGGCGGCTCAGCCAGGCCGTCTGCGGGCACCGAGAGGGCGGTCAGGGCGCGGCGGCGGCTCCCAGCTGCCCGCCGGGCCCCGGAGCCGCCCCGGTACCTGCGTCCGGGCGCTGCAAGTTTTCCCGGGGCTCGCCGGGGCCGGCCGGGCGCTCCCCCGCCGCACCCCGAGGCACGCCGGCCTTTCTCCGCCCCCGGGGCCGCTTCCGCGTCGCCTCGCCGTCCAGGCCGGCCCCCGGCAGCCGTCGCTTCCCCGCCGCGAAGCCCTGAGGAGGGCGGGGGCCGGTCACTTCCCCGCGCCCGGGACCGGCGCGGCCCGCCGCCCCCACGCCACCCGCTTACCGGCCGTCCCGGGCCCTCGGGGGCGCCGCAGGGCACCGGCTCCGCCGCATCGTTCCAGTCCTGCTCCGCGAACATGGCGCAGGGACTCCCGGTACCGGACACACGTGCGCGCGCCCGCCCGCCCACCGGCAACGCGCCGACCGCGCCCCCTACGCGGCCCGGAGGACCGGCGACCCCGGTGCGGGGGCGGGGCCGCGAACGCCCCGCCCCAGCCGGTTTACCACGCCCCCGTGCTGAAACCACGCCCCGTCCCGGTGACCACGCCCCCCGGCCCCGCCCCGGTGCCGTGTGGCGGAGCCGTGTCCGGTGCGGGTTCCGGCCGGCAGGGGGCGTCGTGCCGGGCGGAGCCGCCGCAGCCGCCGCCCTGCGGAGCCCGGGACACGCACCGGTAACGGCGGCACCGCCACCGCGCCCGCGCCCGCACCGGCGGGGCCAGGCCGCGGGATGGGCCGGGGGCTGCGGGGAAGGGGTGGGGACCCAGGGGAGAGGTTGAGGGGACCGCAAAGAGGGCAGAGTGAGGCCCCGGCAGCTGGTTTGGGGTCACCCGGGGGCGCGGGGGGGCACAGGGTCCCCACATCACGTCCCCCGCGGGGCGGTGGGGCCGGTCCCGGGGCTCGGCAGGGCGGAGGTGGGCACCTGGCGATCCCGGCTGGGCTGGGGCGGGGGGTCCTGGCGGTCCCGCGGGACCGGGCGGGGGCTAGTGGGTGACAGGAGAGTGCAGCCGGGGACGCGGCGGGGTGTCCCCATGGCGGGGTGTCCCCGCGGCGGAGACAGTAGGGAGGGAAACCACAGGGCCGGGACCAGTGTGGGGCGTCCTGGGGTGCCCCCAGGTGGATGGGGGATAAATCCCGTCCGGGGCTGCGGGTGCTCCAGAGCCGGGAGAGGGCCGATGCTGCCACGATGTGCCAGGGCCATTCTGGGGACTGAGAGACCCCGGCGAGGGTCCAGGGTTCTGCGTCCCACCCTCCTGGAGCTGCCTGGGGCAGGGGGTGCAGGCAGGGCCCTGGGGGGTAGCTGCCAGGCGCTGGCAGCGGGCAGGGGTCCTGTCGTGGCTGGGTGGGCACCGGGCCCTGGGAGGCCCTGCAACAGCAGGTTTGAGCCCCCACAGGTGCACACTGGGCACATCGTGCACAGTTTGTCCCTGTCTCCACACTATGAGACTCACTCCATGTCCCAGCTCGATGCCACAGAGCCCGGTCAGGGTGTCCCATGCTCACAGCCAGGGCCTCGGGGGGACAGCGGGAGCAGGAGGGAGCTCTGTGCCCGGATCCGAGCTGAGGTGTCCATGGATCCAAGGGGAGCGCATGGGGCTTTGGGGTCCTGGTTCCTGAGCATGGTGCTGTGCCAGACCCAGCCAAGGGGGTCAGGGTAATGGAGCTGCAGGATCCCGTGCAGGGGATGCTGAGCTCCCCCAGCCCTGCTCCCCCCGGATCTATGGGATCCCGTGCAGGGGATGCTGAGCTCCCCCAGCCCTGCT